TGCACACGCACGTGCACACACCCACGCACACACACACACACAGATACACACACTCGCGCGTGCACATCATACACGATCCAGCACTCACTCCTCTGTTTACTCACCCACTCCTTCATTCTCCTACTGGGATCTTTACATGTGGGGTCATCCGGTCCTTTAATATCTTGTTACATCTTATTATGTCTGATTATAAGGACCCCAAAAGAAGGTGCCCTAATTTTGGGAAACTCCCCACCTGCTGGGCAGAGAAGTGCTGGGCGGCCTGGAGGCTCCTGAGCTGAAGGGGTAGAAATACTGTAGGGGCCTTAAGAATTCGATTAGGGTTTAGGGTTTAGGGTTGAGGGTTGAGGGTTGAGGGTTTAGGGTTTAGGGTTTAGGGTTTAGGGTTTAAAGGGATTCTTAAAAACGGTTCTATACAGGGATCGATATAATAGGGTTCTATAGTAGAGGCCTTCCATACTTCGAAGAGGGGTTTCGGGCTCCTCTATAGTATACTTATAATAAGGAACCCTAAGACTAATATTGGTAATTACTTAGGCTTCTATACTACAATTCAGGGTTTGGGGTTTTAGTGCGGGGTTTAGGCTTTAGGCTTGAGGGTTTAGGGGGTAGAAACACGGTTTGATGGATGGGCCGCTTGGGCTTTAGAATTTAAGATTTGGGTTTGTGGCGTGGGGTTTGGGTTTTAGGTTGCAGGGCTTTGGTCTTTTCGGGTGTTGGGCTTGGAGGTTAGAGGTACGGGAGATAGAAGATAGGAATTGGCGTGGTATACAGTAGATGCGCAGTAGATACGATCCGGACCCCTAAACCCTAAACCCTAAACCAAAACCCTAAACCAAAATCCGAAACCGTTCTAGCCAGCCCCGTTTTCTGCTGCCCCTGTCCAGCCTTCTGGTGAGGAGCCTCCACGGCTCTGGCAACGAAGCAAAAGAAGGGCTTCGGGTTTATGCTTTAGGGCTTGGCGTTTAGGGTTTAGGGTTTAGGGTTGGGGGTATGGGGTTTAGGGGTTTAGGGGTTCGGTTGGCGCTTTAGGGGTTTAGGGTTTAGGGTTTTAAGGCTTAGGGTTTCATGTTCAGGGTTGAGGTTAGGGTTTAGGGTTTCTCCAAAAAGCACACGAAGTCGAGGCTCAAGTGGATCAGCTCCTGGAAGAGCACTCGGCTCCCACATCCCACGCCCACGAAACTCTCAGCGACGCGGGGGATGTCCTCGAGGTTCACCGATGGCAGCTCCTGGGTTCTTCTTGAGAAACTTAAACTAAGCCATCATAATCAGGGTTTTCGGTTTAGGGTTTAGGGTCTAGGGTTTAGGGTTTCAGAAGGTTTAGGGTTTGAGGTTTAAAGAACTCACTTTGTTTACTAGATCCCAGTATGATAACTAGATTTAGTTCCTCAACAAGCACCCAGGCGCTTGAATCAAGCGTGGCTCCACGATCTTAAACAGGTGCTTATCGTTCCAGGTCATATGGTGCAGGACATGAACCAAGTCCGGCAACTCCCGCGCAGCGTAACGATTCAGCTTGAACAGCACATCCTTTCAAGGCGAGCGGCAGAGCTGAAACAAACTTCTGCTTTCCGGTTCATCTCGTCTTTGATGCCCCATATACACCCTAAAACCCCAAAAACCCCAAACCCTAAACCCTAAACCCCTAAACCTTGAACTCTAAACCCTACAAACCCTAAACCCTAAACCCTAAACCCCAAACCCTAAACCCTAGACCCGTGCCTTGAGGATGGCTATGAAGTCAGGATCGTTGAACAGCGCCTTCCTTGCGGACAGTACATCGCTCTCATGCTCCAGCTCCACCTGTTTAGGGTTTAGGGTTTAGGGTTTGGGTTCAGGGTTTAGGGTTAGGGCTTAGGGCTCAGGGGCTTTGGCATCCCTGGGTGTAGGCTTTAGGACTGCTAAAACATAGAAGCATTCCGTAGGTTCCTTGCTACAGTTATGGTGTAGGGTTTAGGGTTTAGGGTTTAGGGTTATGGTTCTAGTTATGAAGGCCCCGGCTTGAACAAAGAATCCTGATGTGGATTCCGGGAGGCCGACCAGCTTCGTAACAGGACCCAGGCGTGCCTAAATCCCCAGCTCTAAAGCCTGAACCCTGAACCCTAAACCTAAACCTGAAGATCTAAATCCCAAACTCTAAAGCCTAAGCCCAACACCCTTAACTCCAGACCCTGATCCCTAAGCCCTAAGCCCAACTCTACACTGAACCAGAAGACCTTCCAGTTTTTGAGGCTTCCTTTAAGGACTTCCTTTAAGGGGTTCCTTTTAAAGGAACCCATAAGGGATCTCTTCTATAAGGGCTTTGGATCAAAGGGTTTAGTATAACGTTCCTTCAAGGGCTCCTTTTGGGGTTGTCAAGTATAAGTTTCTATAATCTTCACTTGGGGATTCCGATACGGGCTGCTAGGTGTGAAGCTTCTAGGGTTTAGGGTTTAGGGGGCTACAGGATTCCTGTAAAGGATTGAAAGGTTTTCTGGACAGGCTGTGTTTGAACTGCTATGCGGGGATCCATTTAGGGCCTGTGGACTCAAGGTATAAAGGTTCAAACGTCCAGGGATTTGGGGAAAGGGGCTTGAGGCTAAAACGGATTCGAACTCATGCTCAGAAACAAAGGGTTGGGGTTTGTGGCTTCCAGATTTGTGGTGCTGCTCCTTTGTGTCAATCGTCGATGTGTTGGGCTGATGGTCAATTCATGCATCATGTTTTGCTAGTTCGAGGCCAACCAGCCCTATTCTGAAGTCTTTGCCAACAGAAGTACAACGGCTATGGTGGACATCACAAAAACGAAGTCCTAAACCCAAACTGTAAAAGCAACTGATACCATAAGCCACAAGTCGAAAGGATTCAATCAGGCCCGCCTTTTGCCAGAGACTTTTGAGCAAGTAGCACACCTCCCAAGCTCACATCAGTCAACAGAGGAGGCGGATGTCTGATTGCCGTCTCGCAGGAACCAGTGACAGATTTCGAAATCACGACGGCTGTCGAAGAAGTAGCATAACGATACGAGTACATATGGAATGAAATAATAAGAATAATTAGATGTGTTTCCAAATTGATAACAGACAACACAGCTGCACAAGCAGCAGCAGCAGATGGAGCAGAAGGAGGCAAGTGGTAGTGCCCAGTGAAACGGTGTTTAGGAGAACTGGCAGTAGTAGTGCAGCACCACTAGCATTTTCTGTAAGTATGTAATGTAAGTATGTATGTATGTATGTATGTATGTATGCATGTATGTATGTACACAATTTAAGTATGTGAAACTGTTCTTTTCTGTTATTGCTAAGTAAAACGAGTACATAGCAGCACGAGGCCGTCACCAGAAAAGGAGAAGACGTAACATTGATCGACCGTCGGGTTCAGGCTTGAGGGTTCAGGGGTTACAGTAGGGCTTGTGGAAGCAGTGCGAGTGATAGGGATTTAGGGTTTAGGGCTTAGGGATAGCAATCCCCTAGTTCCCATGCCCTCAGGAACTCCATAGGGTTTGGGACGTACGGATGCCTTCCTCAGGGGGGGTGTCTCTTCGACATGTCACGTATGCATATACCTATACATATGCATGTACATGTATATGTACATGTACAAATACAGGTACAAATACAGATACATATACATATATATATATATACATGTACCTGCACATACATGTACGCATACATACACACATGCAAACATATACGTATGTGTACGTGTGATTTGAAACACCTCAAATACAGTGGCGCTACGAATAGTGTGGGGGTTTGAAGACTGTTGTGCTCCTGGTGACAACATAGCATGGCGCATGGCAAGGCTAAACAAAACATTCACATCTCGCTTCTGGCTGTTAGGTCACAAGTATCCTATCCCGAATCCAAGCTCGGGACGCCTCCCTTGGCCCCAATTTGTCGCGGAAGCTGATGAAGAAAGACAGGTGCTCTTTGGAATTCCTGAGCTTCGCGATCGCCGGGAGGTGGCCCTCCGAAGATGTCGACAACCTCATGGCAGAATGCGGCCATGGCGGGAGCAGAAATGTATGCCAGTAACCCTTATAGTAACCTTTGCTTCAGGGAGCCATGCCTGCAGTAAGCTCACGATAGAACTTATCGAGTTTGCATGGGAAGATGCTGCTTGAGGTGAGAAGGGCAAGGGCTGAAGCTCCATGCATGGGTTTAGGGTCTCAGGGTGTAGGGTTTGGGGTTATGAATGTGGGGAGACTGCCATGTGAATCCTAAACACAATGAAGTTATGTGTAGGACATAAATGTTAGTAATGATGGGAAATACTGAGGTGATACACACCTAGTACACACATGACAGCTGTATTGACAGCAGCAGCAACAACAACAACAACAGTCCACATGTTCATAACAGGAAACAAAACCAAGAGTGCTAGTAATGAAGATAGGACGACGACAACGACGACTGCTACTACTCCTACTCGTGGTTGTAGCCGTAGTCGCAGTCGCGGCCGCAGTCGTAGTAGTGGTGGTGGTAGTAGCAGTAGTAGTAGTAGTAGTAGTAGTAGTAGGAGTAGTAGTAATAGTAGTAATAGTAGTAGTCGTCGTCGTATTGGTAGTAGTAGTAGTAGTAGTAGTAGTAGTAGCAGCAGTAGCAGCAGCAGCAGCAGCTGCAGCAGCTGCAGGAGTAGTAGTAGTAGTAGTAGTAGTAGCAGTAGAAGAAGAAGCAGCAGAAGCAATCATTAGAATAATAATCATCCTAGACATGCTCAACTGCCATCATAAAACCGCTATCGCAGGGTCAACACGAGTCCCGCGACTCACGCGACAGGTTTATGCTGAAGACCTTGATGACTCTGGCAATGATGATGCTGATAACCCTAGCCCTGCGCCTGAACCCTAAACCCTGAACCCTGAACCCTCAACCCTGAACCCTGATAGAATGCTGATTATGATATTGTCTACGAGGCATTTCGATCTCGAGTCCAGTTTAGCGACTGCCCGAAAACCCTACAGTAACCCTTGCAGCAACCGTGAAACTAGCCTTTAAAGTAATCCATATAGGCAGCCCTATAGTAAGCCTCAGAGTAAGCAGGCTTTAGAAGTTTGGGAGTGTGGGCTTTCAGACGACTCAGGCACCTTGCACCAGCTGGGCGCCATGAAGAGGAACATCCTCTGCAAAGCGCCAGCCGGCGAAGGCGATGCATGGTGCGGCCATCTATGCGAGGCTTCGGAGGTTTGGGGAGACAGGAGACAGGCTTGTTTTGAGGGGTTGGGACAGGGTAACAGAACGACGTGTCAAGAGTCCACGTCAGAACGAATGAGAGCTGATGCTGGAAAGCAGTGAAACAGGATTTACACCAGCAATATATCTAGCCTCCGAGAACGGTCATTCTTTAGGCGCCGTGCATAAGCAGTCTTTCCGGCTTGAGGGCCTCACGTCAAGACTTTCAGGTTTTTGGCTGTGGGGTTTAGGCTTCGCTGGTCTTCGAGCCTGAAGTTCTCGCACCCGGATCGCACAAAGGGATGGCTGATGCAAATAGGAGCCCCTTGCCTTACGAGGAGCTGGGGATTGCCAGATCATCACCACGTAGGCATGAACATGAGGAAAGAGAGGAGTAACAGCAAGGACCCTCATCATCACGGGCTGCATCATATCCCCATCAAAAGAACCATCAGAATGGGCATCATCAAAACTTGTAACAGCAACACAGTACGTAACCTATAGCAATCGTGCTCTTTGCAATATTCGACCATGAACTCGGAAACATGTACTGAATCATCGTCATCATCATCATCAACATCATCATCATAGACACGACAAGCGCCACTAGCACCGCAAACATTGTGAAGCGTACTTTCATGCTGCCAGGCGCATTGGAACCAGTATCACCGACAAAATCATAAACCATTGAACGGACGGTGAGTGCACACGGTAGGTCATGACTGTAATGGAAGTACACCAAGCAAAAGAACCCATGCCATTGACGACAGAGTGGAATGCGAGAGCGGCGAACAGGAAACGTCAAGATGCTGTCATGTAGGCCGTGAAGACACTGATGACCAAAATTACTCTAAGACCCTACCTGCCCTTGGCAAGCTCCACGCAGAGAGCCTACATAACTATCATGTGCGTGAACCCTGAACCCTAAACCCTAACCCTAAACCCCTCAACAACTCTTAAACCCTTAAGCCCTTAAGCCCTTCAAGCCTTCAAGCCTTCACCCCTAAACCCCTGGACCCTCATGAACCCTGAAACCTTAGCGCCTCAACCTTATTGCACCCTTAAGCCCCTAAAGCCCCAAGCCCTGACTAAAGCCCTAAACCCTAAACCCTAAACCCTAAAGCCCTAAACCCTTTACCCCAAACCCTAAAGCCCTGAACCCTAAATAAGCCCCAAAGCCCCTAGGCCCCCAAGAGTTGTGGCCGTCTTCCTGGAGATGCGGCTCCCTTCGGCCCTTCGGGCTGAGGATTTCTTCAGGGTTTAGGGTTTAGGGTTTAGGGTTTAGGGTTTAGGGTTTAGGGTTTAGGGTTTAGGGGTTTAGGGTTTAGGGTTTTTTCTGGATTTCTTCAGACTCCGTCATTTCAAAGCTTCGGGCTTCGGGCTTAGTCGGGTTTCAACTTTAGGGCTGAGGGTTTTGGGTTCTAGGCTCGCTGAAACCTGTGGAACTGAAAATCGCGGAGGAATCACGGCATCAAGTCAACGACTTGGGAAAGAGGGATCTGGCTGAGATTCCGGTTGGCTGCGAAGAATTCCGCCGTTGCGCTGCCCCCATCCGCACGCTCATCGAAAGTGTAGCCGGTCCCCTGGAAATGTCGGTTCAGGGAAAGAGTTGTCGCAAGGAAGCGCCGGGCAGCCACGGCGGTGTCTTCAGCAACCAAGTAAGCCTCCTCGCTCATTGGTCCTTCAGACTTTTCGATCGAATCAATTGATACACTAAACTGAGCCTCGAGTTCAGCCCACGATGTGTTGCGGAGTGTCGACCAGTGCGGTCGGATCTTGTCAGCAACTCGTGGGTGATACATCTCCACCGCACGCTGCACTCCATCCCAATCTGCCTTCCAAATCGTCCCATCATCGTCAAAGAACACCAGCTTGAAGCGGGTACCCCTCGCGATCTCCTCGTCGATCCACTCAACCTGGACTCCGTTTCTCAGCAGAATCTCACGAGCACCGAGGCCAAAGTTCCTGCCGGCCCAGGACACGCCGTCGGCAACGAACATGACACGACGAGAGGGGTCGACAAGCGTCGCTGTGGCAACGTCCGCGCCCGAACGCAGGTAAACGATCCTCCCAAAAACCCCATCAGGCTTGGCGACATCTTTGGCATTGTCTCGCCAGGCCTCTGCAAGCACAGCTGCGGCACTGACACCAGGTTTGGGAGCGGTTTGCACCGGTTTGACCAACTGCTTCGTTCCACCGCAACCCATCAGATGTGAGAGTGCAATGATGACTAAAGTTTGCGGCCCCGAACTGAAGACAATCTCCTCGGCTAGGCAAAACCTCCACAATCACAACACACCTGTCTAATGAGAGGTTGCAGCTGCAGCTACGAGCTGTAAAGCTTGGAACCAATGACGAATGGTCTGTGCATTGGAAGCTGACACAAGACCACCTTCGCATCTAAGCCAAGCTTTGCCAAGCGCAAAAACTTTCCAAGGTTTCGGGCTGGGGAAGCACATGATGAGGTCGGTTTGGGACATCTTATTCAAGAACCTCTATAGGAAAGCTCCGGGTTCTTGTTATTTTCTTGAAGCCCGCGAACTTTGCAGCTCTCGTACAATACGTGCAGACGGGGGGTGTTAATACTCGAACAAACCACAATTTTTGGTGAATGTCACCGTCAACAATCCAAATAAGAAAACGCACAAATCTATTTCGAACATCCCCACCGTAAAAGCAACCAGTTGGTGGAACATTCTACTGGATAACCGTGTGGGATACACTGCAGAATACTTGGGGGGGTGGGGCGTGCAAGGAGGTGGGCACACCAAGGAGGAAAAAAAACGGCACTAAAGCTGTTATAAAGACATTTGATTTCGCTTTAGCTCTAGCGCTGGGCACTCCGGGTATGCTGTGTGGGGACGTTCTGAGGGCATTGCAGAACTCTGGCTACTTTGGCGTTAAACAATGCTCTGCGGGAGAATCTTGGGCGATGGGCACGCCACGGATTTTCTGCAAGATGCCGGATACTTTGCAAGTGACGTTCCGATAAATTTCTTCGGAAAACCTGTATCTTATACAAGAACAAGGATTGTCTAATGTCCTTCAGCAAAAAAAATCTTCGCGGTCATATACACATGTAAATATATGTACTTAATTATTCATTTATTTATACTCATAATATACACATTTTTACATGTCTACATCTTTGCAAAAGTACATATCTACCTATCTACATATCTACATATCTACATATCTACATATCTACATATCTACATATCTACATATCCACATATCCACATATCTACATATCTGCGCAAAAAGACATTTGTACATATATACATGATACATGAATGCATAAATACATGTCCTTTCTCAATCGCGCAGAGCGAGTCCACAAGCGAGACCACTCGTCAGCAGCCCTTGAAGTGGGATTCACGTGCGGGGAAAACGTAGAAGTCGGCGGACACGGGAAAAGAGTCATGGAAACTACAAACACGATGAACATTCTGTACAGGACTCTTCGCTGCCTTTTTTAGGTAAGACGATGGCTGGACTAGGGCATTTTTCGACCTCAGTTTAAAAGGAACTTCCACAACATTTGCTGACAAAGCAAAGCTCCGCACCTGACAGTCGATCGATATTGCAAAGAGCATGGAAGGTCGTGGTCCCCGGTTCGATTCGGATAGTTGCGATTCTTGGCCTGCTTTCTAGTCTCAAATGCAGATTTAAAAAAAGTCCGTTTTCCAAAGACTCTGTATAAGAGGCACCAAAAAACGTCCAAATTTCCAAATGAGGCAACAGAGAAGAAAAAGAGTAAGAAGTATTTATGTCGATTTAAAATTTCAATCCATCGTGGTGTCTCTTGGATTGTAAAAACGGGACGCCTGGTCTTACGTCCGCAGAATCGTACCTTTTCCACAGCATAAGAGCACCTGTGGAAGTAGGAATGTGCGGTCCAAAACCAATCTTTCAGATGCATTCCGATATGTGGCATTGCTTTGCCAAGATGAAACTTCGGAAGGGAAACCTGAGACTTCTAACTTTTCAGGTATGCTTCCGGCAGCACAGCATTGACGATGGGGTCAAGGGAAGCAGAAAACTCCAACGGCACCAGCGAAAGAAGACTCTTAAAAAGATCAGACTCAAACTCCAAGCCTCACAAGACTCTTTCAGAGAATCCCTTGGACCTGATGACCTTGTCGAAGGGGACATTGGAGTTCAGGGTTTGAGGGTTTGGGTTTTAATGGAATTTTAAATTGCTCCATCCCAAAAAAGCCTGGCCACCACAAGAGCAGTGCCATGGCCGACCGGAACTGAAGAGAAGCATTGCTCTGCAACTTGGATTTGGCCTGCTATTGGAAGGCTTGCCTTAAACCCGTCATGGAAAGAGAAGATTGTGCCTGTTGGAGATGTTCTCCAGTTCGATGGGTAAAGCCTTCGAGAAGCTGGAAATTACTTCGCTGAATGTAAACCTCAAATTCAGTCCAACAATTGCGCAGACATTTGCTGCTGCCCACGTTTGCGCCAGACTGTTTCGACTTCATCTAGGCAAGGCTCCGTGTGCACGGAGTACAGCAGGGTCTTGACTCCGCCCCCGACGGTTGGAAGAAGAGCGACTTGTGCTGAAAACTTTAGGCCAGGAAATCCGGCTACTGGCTACAGCCCTTCATGGCGGGCTACCGTTGCAGGACGTCAGCCATTGCACTACGGTTGTCTATACCGCAAGCTCACGAGAATTTGTTGGAGTGGACGGACGGTGGCGTCAGCATCCCACCGGCCCGATGCCGGGAGATCGTCTTTGCGGTCAACACGGCACGCTGGTCACCCGGCCGCGCAGAAGAATCGTCGAGCAAGTACCAAGATCCTCGGACCGGTTTTGGCATTGAAAACAACTCTTAGGCTGCAAAAGGCTCGCAATCTTTTCGTGTTGAGAGATGAGGTCAAGCTCGCTCTTTGAAACTTTAAAGGATCGACAGAATCGGCCTCAAAGAGAATGCAATTCGTTTGTGCCTTTAGGAGCCGATGCACGAGGTGCAGGTGGATTTGACCTTCATGCAAAATTGGTCCAAAACCCTATCCCACACGGTGGTTGCTATCGACAGCTTTTCGAAGAAAGTGGCGGCTCTACCCCAAGACCGTTTGGCTACCACCGCTACTGCTATGAGAACCGTTATCGATCGTCTAGGCGTGCCGTCGCAGGTGTATTCAGATGATGGGGTCAAATTTAAAAAAGAGTTTAAGCAACTCCAGTAGGGAAGCTCTGCCTGGGAGGAAGATGTAGTTGAAGCAACTGTTAGATGACTGGGCTATAGAACAACAAGTTGCTAGAGGGTACGCGTTTTTTTGTGGAAAGGGTTATTCGAACGATAAAAGAAGGGATACTAAGAAGGCTGGAGTAGAGAGTGAGGCCTGCGCATCGTACCGCGTGAACGCACTTAAGTGGTCGGAGAAGGTTTACAGAGTCTTGGGCGTGGAGTACGGCAGCTTGGGCTCGCGCTATCGCCTGGAAGGCTGGCCCGAACCTATGGTCAGAAGGGACATGAGGAAGATTTCTGCAAACGAGAATGTCAGAGCCAGGGACTTGTGCAAACTAGGCAAAAGGCGCAGACAAACAAGCTCAAGCTGACAGGTTCCCTCCTATGATATGACGAACTGACGAACTGACGAACCGTTTTGGGCAGCAGTAGCTGTCGCAGCAGTAGTTGTCGCAGCAGTCGCAGTGTAGCTGTCGCAGCGGCTATCACTCGGCTGTCGCAGCATCTGTACATGACCTGAAAAGCAGCTCGTCCGGGTTTCTGTACCCCAGAGACAGTCTGCACCTTGCAACCTTCAGGAAGCGTGCAAGCAAGTAGGGACGGCCATGATAGCCTTAAAGACCTCAACAAGGTTATTGACTAAGCTGCTATTACACATTACACAGCGTTACGCGAGATCCAACCTCTAAGTGTCGAGTGGTTCGAATTCAACGGCGACTCTTCTTCAGCAAGTCTCTGACGGGCTGCCTCCACTCAGCCTGCATGGGAGGCAAAGACCCGCGAGCGAACTCCATGATCCGGTCGAAGACGTGAGCTCTCCCTTTAATCTGCTGCCACAAGTCCGCGAAGGCGTTGCGCCAGTGCCCCAAAGGCCGGCAGAATTCTTTGGTCAACTGGTAGGCCTTGTCGTTCAGCACCCCAAACGTCTTCTTGCACTCTACCACCGCGCGGATATGATGATGAGAAGAACGCAGCTGGGCGGAACTGTCGCGCTTGATTGCATTCTCCTCGTAGATCCGGAGATACTCTCGATGCCTGACTCGCTTACACACGATCTAGGGCACCCCCTTGGCTTTCTGGATCTGCGCGTCGAGTCCAGATGCCATACTTCTTGACCGCCAAGCAGACTACACTCAAGATCACGTGCTTGGAGCACTCGTTCGAGAGAGCGTCGAGCTTGCTACGAAGCTGTCGCAGCTTTGCCAACGCGGACTCCGTGATCTTTCCGCGATACAGCTGCTCGAATTCGTCGGCGTCGAGGTCTCCGATGAGGTCGAACTCCACAGGCAACTTCAGGTTTGCCTCAGCGGCAAGGGCACGGGATCATCACTGCCGAGGACCTCCATACGGATGCTGTCTGTATCCGTGAGGAGGGGCACCACCCTCGGAAGGGTCGCTTTGATGCCGGCCCAGTACTGGACACAAGAATGGAGTTTGGACAACTCCAAGACTCCCCACCCGATCTGAACCGGGCTGCGGTTGACGTTCCTCTTGGCATCCCGCACCCTCCGCACCGTGTCCAAGAAAGCATCTGGTTCAAAGATTTCCGTGTTGAAGTCTGCGACCGCGGCGTCGGCTTGAGTGCGGCTGAAGGAGACAGGGTCGAAGTAGTACTTGGTGTTGAGGTACTTCTCCTGGTTCTGCACGGTCCTCCCGTAGATGCTGTTGACGCAGATCTTCACGAAGCCCTATTCGGTGTCCTTGCCCTCGTCCTTGAGTTGCCGTCTGTACGCGTACGACCTCTCCATAAAATCCTTGAGGATGGGCTGGGTGTCGAACGAGTAGGCCTTGTGAAGCTTCCAGATGCGAGCGCCGAGGTGGTTGCGCAGGAAGCGCAGGCGCTTGCCGTGGATTCCCTCGCAGCGGTGCATTCCAAGATAGGGGACAAGTTTTTCCACAGGCTTGCCCGGCTCCATGGAGTTCTTCATGTAGGGGCCGACTTCTGAAGGAGGAACTGCGAGCCGACACGGGGACGGGAAGTCCAAAACGTCGTGCAGCTCCTCGGAGTAGTCGTAGTCCACGAACAGCAGGTAGGCCGTCTCCCACCGCTCTCCGCTCGAGCAGGGTAGATACTTGGTCATGGCGTGCGGGTACATCGAGTTGATGTCCAGATACAAACTCCTCTTGACAGGCTGACTGGCGTCGTAATGCTCCAAGCCCTCGAAGTTCGACTTGCTGTGGAGTCGGAACACCGCGCACATCATGGCCTGCTTGACCGCCTTGTACACGTCCACATCGGTGATGAGGCGGAACTGCCGGCCACGCCGCTGAGTGCTGCCCCGGAGAACAGCCTTCCAAGACGCCGAAGGTAGCGAAGAGTAGAGGAACGGGTCGATGTGGTGAGTGCTGAAAAAGTGCCGCCGGAAGATCTGCATCAGGTCGGCGTAGGCCGTGATGGGCGAGATAACAGTCAAACACCTCCTTGAACCGTTCAAAGTCCATCATCCTCGAAGTGTCCTGGAGCAGCTTGTGGTCCGCATCGGAGACCAAGACATGGGCAGCTTGCGCAGCAGGGCCTCCCACACGGCGTCCGTGCCATCGGCAGAATTCCGAGCGTGCTTGAGGACGAGGTGCCTCGAAGGCGTCAAAGGAAACGCCCTCTCCAGCCCAGAAGCCTGAGATGACCTCGAAGGTCGACCGCTTTTGAGGGCCGAACGCTTGTGAGACTTGATCAGCTTTCCCAGACCGGCCTTGCAGAAGTTCATGGTGTCGATGAACCTCAGGCGGCCTATGTCGAGCGTCAAGTTCGTCTCGCCACTCTTTTGAAGGATGGAGACGGAGACTTTGCAATCTCGAAGTGTGTCGACCACGGCCTTCGGAAGCGCGTCGACCAGCGTCTGCAGCTTGACCTTCTGAACCCGCCGAGAGAGCTCCTTGACGCTAAACGTTCTCAGCTTGCGGCGGTCCGTGAAGGAACTCGAGGGTTTCTCCTTCTCAGGCCTCGCGGAAGCAGCCGTCAAAGCAGCGTGCTTAAGCTTTGCGAAGCCTCTCAGCAAGAAGTGGAAATCCTGGCATAGCGAACCTCGGAAAGAGCCTGAAGTGTGGCAGTGGTGCGCCACCTTCTCACAGCCCTTCTTCTTGGAGTCGAAAAGTCTCCGGAACTCACGGCAAGCTTTAGCATCGCGATGAGCTTCCCTTTCACCCGGCTGCCAGACCAGCTTCTTTTGGCCGGTCTTTATCGACTTCTTGAACTGGTCGGCGAGGTTCACCATGGCCGCGAGGAACTTGATCACCACGGCGCACTCGTGGTCATCGGGCTGTGCGTGGATCAAGCAAAGCCGGTGCTCCTCAGGGGGCTCGTATCCGCACACTCCCACGGCCGCATAGCCGACGGCCGCGACTCTTGTCTGAGACACCAACGCAGCAGAGGCGTCCGAGCAGGCCTTGCTGAAGACCTCGAAGTCCGCGTAGACCATCAAGGGCGATAGCTCGCAGGAAACTTTGGTACGATACCGCAGCACGCTGCATTTAGCGAAGGGCATGGCAATCTGGGAAGTTCTGCCCTCGAAATCAGCCCGGCACTGCCCCACCTTGAAGTGCTGCCGCAGCGCTAGCTCGGACTTGAAGTTCGACCTGCAGATGGCACAAACGTGCAAGACGTGGGATCGACGGTGCTTCACCTCGGTCTGCTGCCCCTGTTGGCTTGCAAAGGCGTTGAAACTGTAGATTATCAAGACGTAGTGGTCTTCGTACAGCAGCAGCGGCACCAAGCGCGTGCCGTCCGTTCTGGCTTGAAGAACTTCTGGAGGGGTCCTCACAAAAGTCTCTCCCACACGTCTCTTGCCCCGCTGCACCTGGTCCACCCACTGGTAGACGACCACCTCCACGCGACCGAGATTCGAGAGCTCAAAGCCCGTGATGGCCTCGATCGGCACGAAGTCCATGTCCACGGCGCTGAAGTCCAGGCCCACATCGAGGAGCTGACGGCGATCGTGAGCTCCAGGTCGCCCTCGCCCTCGAGCCTCAGCGAAGAAGGGCGGCCCCGTGCATCGAGTCGTGTGAAGCCGGGCGCGGCTGTCCAAACTCCCAATCTCCAGGAAGGCGGCCATGAGACACCACTCGAAGCATCGCCCGCGAACTTGAGGATTCCAGATGCCCTTCTGGTTTGTTAAGGACGATGGCAGTTCCACGCCGCGGCCTCCGCCAACCCCTGGAGCAGGAACGTTCTCCAGGCCAGGAGCAACCAGTACGTCGATCCAGCTGATGCCGTCCACGACCCAGTCGCTTCCAGGAAGCGTGCTCCGCTCAGCGGCGGTTTCAAGCTTCCACCTGGCGCTGCATGAAGTCGTCCTCCTCGAGCTCGCCGGACTGGCGGTTCACCCTCTGAATGCGCAATGAGAGCAACATCTTGATGTGGAAGGGAAACGGAGACACCAAGTGCTCCCTGATCATGTCCCTGACGGCGTACAGAGACCTCTCATCCACATAGCGATTCGGAGCCACGGGAAGCAGCCTGAAACGTGCGAGCCAGGCTCGAGGAGCCCATCCCTCCCGAACCACGCGGACGCCGTCCACAACAGCATCCATGATCACAAGGGCGCTCTGAGACTTACTATATGTACCGCTTTTATTTCATCAGCCGCCAACTGGGTCGGTCGATGGAAATTTTCCTCGATTCTGAACAAACGCCTTCGGTCGATCATCATGTCATTCGCATGTTCACGTGAAACGGAGTGCAAAATGTAGTGAGTGAGTGAGTGAGTGAGTGAGTGAGTGAGTATCGACTAGCACTTACGGTGCAGCCTGCCGCCCACGTCCCTCTCGACTTCGCAGGGGGGCTCCGAAAACGTCATTGCCCCCCTCCATCACAGAGTTCAAGTGGGGGAAAATTAGTTAGTGCAGCCATGTCACATTTCACAAAACTTGGGACGATTCCTTTTATGCTGCTCCAGCAATCAAGACGAAGTCCAAACTGCCAAACCGTCAAACTCCGCAGCCGCAGGGCATTTGGTTGCCCTCCGAGCTCTGGTTAAACAAACCGCGAGCCGATGAACGGAAGAGGAACAACCCTCGAACTGGCAACCAAACGTTAAACTCTGCATCCGCAATGCAGCTGGATTCACTCCAACTCTGGTTGATAAAGCTGCCCTCCGGCAAACTCCGCTGGCTGCCGGGAGTTGGATGACTACGAGAACTTGACCAAGTTGCCAAACGTCAAACTCTACAAGCACCGGGCGAGTGGACGCCCTCCAAGCTTGGGTGTACCAAACTGCAAACTCAGCGGACTGCCCCCCCAACAGCTACTGAGCAAACAAGCCTCAGACCCTGCAAGCTGCAGGTAGCTTGTTGCCCCGCAAACGCTGATGGAAGAAGCAACCGAGCGTCAAGCTCTGCAGGCGATGAGCAGCTAGGTACCCTACAGCAACTCTGGTTGGACAAGCTGCCATACGACATACTCTGCAGGCATCCATCCGAACTCAGAGCAGAGATCACCCTAATAACAGCCAACCACACACCTAAAGAAAGCACCAGCAACTCTGCCGCTCAACGGAGAGGGTCTTCAGTGATCCGCTGTTGCGATGCCTGCAGAGGCTTCCGGCGGCTACTGGTCGAAAAAACTTCTCGAACTTCCACGCTTCTACAAATGTTGACATGTCTGCAATGACTAACAGGATCCGTCCAACGTCATCAAGAAATACCATGGACAAGAATTTCGGCGCATCCCTTCTGTGACACATCTCCAATGAAGCTGATAACTCATGGAGTATGCAGAAAAGAATGAACGCTGGATTGTGTGTTTTCTCAGACTTCTCAAGATCGTACCAATGAAGCTACCTTAGTCGGAGTGAGGTACACCAGCCTGACTGCTTCGGGGCCTCATCATAAGCCGCGGGACCACGAGAAGGTGGCCGCAGTGGCCGCCGCGGTTAGGAGATGGAGAGCCGGCTATTTAGGCTCCATGAAGGTTTAAGTGAGTCCGACCTCGATGCCAGCTGACAGTGAGCATCAGGAGACTTGCTTCAGCCAGGCTCACAAACTTGCCTAAAAGGAAGTCCGAGGGTAACAAGACGCAATCAGCAAAAACGAGAAAGCACCTGAATACGGACACGAACCCCGACAAAGCGCAGGGCACACTGCCTCGACTGCTCTCATGTGTGTAACAGAGAGAACTGCAAATCAGAGAGAAAGAAAGGAGAGGAGAAACAAGAAAAAAGACAGCGGAATGGAAGGTCATCACGTGGTGTTGCTGCATTTCTCACATCCTTCAACAGATTAGATGCATCGTTTGTAAAAGAGTCAATCACTCTTTGCGGTAGCGACCTGCTGGCATCAGACAACTCAAAAAAGTGAGGGACCACAGGTGTCCTAACATCGTATCCAAGAAATGGCTGCGGACAGACACGTCTTCACTTGCAAGTGCTGAATCACCCCTGCAACTCAGCAGTTCATTTGTTACGCGAAGCAAACTTAGACACTGGGCAAGTGTCACTGCAACACGACGACACATGTATTGCATCCAAACCCCGTTCGACTCGAACTTTTACCACTGGGCAGTACATGTCTGGCATGGAGCATCAAGGAGCACCAGTTAGTCGCAGTCAAACTCGTGAAGTGCAATGCAAGTGGTCGCATCTACCATGGTAAGGAAGGCCTTACCTTCGCGGCACAAGGAGTTCACACTACGTTGAACGAGGTCCTGCAGGAGAGGCGTTGCAGCGGGTACCTCCATTGCAGCCTCGCACCGGGATAGCAACAGATCAAGGGGCAAACCCTCCTGTCGAGATCTTGCGCGGAGATGGCGCAGAATCCACCTACGAACCCGACGCAGTGTGAGGGTAGGCGCCGAGCGCGCGTTCTGCGAGCCCGCACCGCTTGCACATGCTGCAACCAAGCCAGCCATGTGGTTGACCAGGTACGGGACGACGGTAGTGGGACGCCTCCTACTAGGGCAGTCCATCCAGGCCTGCAGCCACACCCACAGGCAGTCGGGGCACAGCGCGTGGAGTTCAGTTGGCGCGGGTAAATAGTACCCGCTCGCCCCATGGTTCCAAGCACGACACTGTCCACGTGCATGCAACCTGCGTCCACAACCACTGCATGCCAAGTCCCCGCTGTCGCGGTTGCACCATTTGCAGGGTTGAGGGGGACCAGGACGGAGGGTAATACCCCCACACTGCCAACAGCAGCTGATTGGCGCTGGCAGTTCATTCCGGACGCAAGTACAGGTCACCTGAAGGGCCGCTTTCACGGCGTTCCATTCCGGAAACACACCCCCCCAGGTGGGAACCCCGCGCAACATGATGGGAACTCCGTTAGCTTGCGCGGTAGCAACAATGGCGTCCCCACTAAGCCTCAAGCCTGGACAAACTGCCTTAATGCGGTTAATCACAATGTCCTTCGAGGGCAGCAACCACCTAAGTTCCGAAAGTAGACCTTGGCCCTGCGGTGAGCGCAGCCACGCCTGCAGGCCATGGAAAGGCGGAGGTGCAGCCGGTAAAATGGGCACCTCCTGGGGAACGCCTGCAGGCTGCATGTAATCCAACAGAGTGCTGGCAAGTGCAATCCAAGCGTCCAATCGCTGCTGGAACTCCGATCTGATGAACCGCAGCCCAAGCAGCAACAGACTGGTGACGACTACAGCAGGCTGGATTCGGGAGGAACGAGAGTGCGAGGCAGTAGCTTCGGCTGTAGCTTGGCCAGGCTGGCGGAGGGTTGCAAATGTTTCGGCAGGCAGGAGATGGTCTAGAGTAGCAGCTGGATGCAGGTTACACAACGCTTTGCCCAACGCCAATGGAAGCACCCCACGGTATGCGAGGTCATGTCCTTTTGCCCTGTGGCTGCAATCCCGGGAGCTGCCTCTGGGCTCCTCGCAAAGATAAGCTTCCCGCTCTGGGAAGGCTACCAACCAGCGCCAAGCGCTGAGCACTGGCCACCTCGAAACGTCACTGGGCGATGGCACGCCCGGTGCCAAATTTGCGTTCCTAGCTCGCCAGTCTGCCGCGGCTGCAATAAGCGAAGCTGGAGATTGCAAATTCGACAGAGCGGCCTCTACTGAGTCACGGAGAGCATCAGCTAGGGGACCCATGTGGACGCAACTCATTAACACATGCCTGGGAGTGCAAGGACCACGACCGCAAAGGGGGCACGTACGGACACTATCCAGCCTACGAGTCTGTATCCACCTTTGCCCGAGCCTCTGCAGATCAGCATCTGAATGGAGCCGTTCCGTCCAACTACCACCAATTGACCGTGTACATCGAAAGAACATTGGAGTCAGGTCTACGTGAAGGTCGTCTTGGGGCAGTGCCCACCGCCTCCATCGTTCCGGGATTTGGCAGTGTGTGTAAAGGTCAGGGTTGAGGCAAGGCTTGAAAATCTCTTGGCCCACATGTGCGATTAGACCCTGAACCGGCTTGGATGCCCATCCGGTCAGCGCTTCCTGGCGCATAAGATTTCGAATGAAGTCCCTCGCCGGGGAGGTGACGGAACGACCCTGACAGACAAGATACGCGAAGGTGCCACCGACCGGCCTACGAATATCGGGAGGGCAAGGGTAGGCCCTCGCCACAGCACATCCATCATCCTGGAGCTGATTCCCCTGAACGAGAACAGGGTGAGGGAGCGCAGAGTGTGTTTGGTGTGATTTGATGTCTACTCCCACCAACCCGAACCTAGAAAAAGCAATGCGGGAGTACCATCTTCTGGCGGAGGTCTCGGCATCTGGGAGCTGAATGTTCCACGCTGAGGGTAGCTCTACTTGTTGTAGTCGCCATGACGGGGTGCGCACGACTGGCCTCCAGGTAGTAGCCCGCTCCCGTAGGATGTGCCACAAGCGTGTAACCCAGGGCTGACAGCGTTGCTTCAACAGGACGGCCTCATCGTTCCCGCTGACTTTGTCTAGAATGTGAAAGAGTGCCGATCGGTCAGCAACCAAGAGCATCCAGTCCCTATTGCGCCTGTAGCGCAGCGACCCCAGCATAGCCGCCAGTTCAGCCTCATGTACTCCTGAATGCTCCCAACCTACGCGAACTGGCAACCGACCCACCTGACGTTCGGACACGGCAGAGCTGGAGCCCCAGTAGTCCCCGAGGGGTCCAAAGGAGCGTGCTTGATAGGAGTACGTTGTGCAATCATGTGATGTTTGGCCTCCATCCCCAAACATTGCGAAGTCCCAGCCCTCGAGCTGAGGACATAGAGACTGAGCCATGAGGAAAGATGTGCGAGCATCAGGCCTGCTATTTGCATGCTCCCAGGATTCGGCAGGCCAGTCCTCAGGGAGAGGAGGAAAGCCAGCACCCGGTTGGAAGATGGCACACTCGATGTGCCAGTCGGAGTCTGCTTGCTCGGAGGCTTGTCGAGCCGCGCTAGCGCAAGTAGACGGGGGGAAAGGACAAGCTAGATCAAGGTGCTCAGCCCAACACTCTGCAGAGAACCAGTCCTGCACAGGGGCTCCCGCTCTGATAAGACGCCATGCGCGACGGATGGAATTGGCTGCACTACCCACTCGACAGTAGACCTGCCCTCTAGCATAGGAATCCGGTTGGAAGGCAGCAGTAAAGGGCTGCTTCATGACATTGTCCCCAGCT